GGGGGGGGGGTGTCCGCGGGGCGGGGCCGTCGGGGGTGAGGATGAGGTGGGGGAGGGGCACGGACGAGCTGCACCCCCCACTGAGGTGGGCGAGCTGGGTGCCCGTCGGAGGTGACTTCCCAGCAGGGACGCCCCGCAGCCAGCGGGGCACGTGCCAGCGAGGGAGGACCCGGCCTGGAAACCCGGGCGGGGGGGCGTCATTGGCCTGGGGAAGATGACAGACACCCCCGGGAGAGGACGCGTGCAGGCAGAGGAGGGCCTAGCACCGCGTTTCCAGGGACACCACCGCGTGGGGCACGCCTGCGGCCAGACCCAAATGCTTCCGCTGAGGTTCTGACGAGCTGAGGGACCAGATTGCGAGACGGCGATTCTCCTTCTGAAAGGAAGCCGGGCGCAGAGAGCCCTGGTGCCGGTGACAGAGGTGTCAATGGCAGTGAGCAGCACGGGCAGACCACAGGCTCTTAGCCCAGAGAAACAGATGAGGGGCCCGAACTTCGAGGGCCTCTTGGTTTGAGGATCTCGATCTCTCATTTGGGTCCAGTTTGGTAACGGAAAAATGTGGCTGTCTGCTTGCTAGCATTAACTAAGTACTACTAATAATAGTAACGATAAAAATAAAATAATGATAATGATGATGATGATGATGATGATGATGTTTTCCCTGACAGGTTAGCTAGAGTTGATTGGTTTGGGTGGATGAAACCCCCGTGTCTACACTGTTTTTCACACCATGCTGCCCAGAGCCCCTTTCAGGAGCTGGGAGGCTGGGGATGGTTTAAAAAGAGGTGTTTTGTCCAGCACCAAGGATCGTATTTTCTGGAAGAAAAGAGAACAGTGGAGGCATCGGGGCTCTCAGACTTGAGATCTGCTAGAGTTAAAACCATTGCTTTTACTGTCACGTTCACACTGTGCAAATCCACAGAAGCGGACACAGTTCACGGTACCCTGGTGACTTTGTTTCCATTAGCTCCGTGTCACAGCCATCGTCTCTGAGATGTCACGGGCACCAGGAGGCCACTCAAATAAACAGCAGTCACTGTGGGCTCTCTTGGCCACACAAGGTATTTTTCAGCACGTGACAAGGAAGGCTATATTTCCCAGAGCTGTTTGTCTGTACAGGTCATGAGATCTTCTTTTGAGAGTATTAACCCTCTCTTCATGCCCATCCGGCTATAGGTCCCACCCCTTGTCCCATGCGGCCATCCAAGATTTTAGCAAGTTTGAAGGTGTGACTTTATCTTTTTCTCAAAAGTGACTGGTCTTATTTTTGATGATTTAAGGTAGGTTGAACATTAAATCTTTCCTACTGAAAGGCAAACTTTCTTTCCTTCCTTCCTTCCTTCCTTCCTTTCTTTCTTTCTTTCTTTCTTTCTTTCTTCCTCTCTTCCCCTTTCCTTCCCTTCCTTCCTTCCTTCCTTCCTTCCTTCCTTCCTTTTAATTTCCTTAAGTAATCTCTACGGTCAACCTGGGGCTCAAACTCACGACTCCTAGTTGCACACCCCGCTGACTGAGACAGCTGGGCACCCTGAAAGGCAAAGTCTCTAATGTTGGGAATTCTCAGCCTTTGTTTCATTTACATTTTAGCCCTGTCACTGCTCAGTGACATGTCCCCCTGACAGACTTAAGATGGGTGAGCTGCTGGGGTGCCTGGGTGGCTCAGTCACCAATGTCCAACTTCAGCTGATGTCCAACTTCAGCTTGGGTTGTGGTCTGGGGGTTTGTGGGTTCGAGATCCCCATTGGGCTCTCCACTCTTAACGAGGAGCCTGCTTCAGATCCTCTGTGTCTCTCTCTGCCCCTCCCCCATTTGCTCTCTATCTCTCAAAAAGGAATAAACATTAAAAAAATTAAAAAAAAAAAAAAAAAAGGAAGGGTGAGCTGCTTGTTAAAGCAGATCGTGGCGAAGCATCTGGGAATTTATTGGCACATTGAATTTCAGTATTTCCTTACAAATTTTATTTGTCCCTGTTCTTTCTTGTACACAAGAAAAATTGGTGAAATCATCCTATCAACTCTTTTTTTGGGATAAGCTATCCATTTCTGGGCTGCGGGCTGCTGAAACACATAAGTATTTCATTTGGAAAATTATCAACCCTAACAAAACAAAGTCACATTTAGCTACTATTTAAAGAAAAGACCCCCAGGGCGCTTGGGTGGCTCAATCCATTAAGCGTCTGACCTTGGCTCAGGTCATGATCTTGCAGTTGGTTCGCTTCGTAGGTTCGAGCCCCGCATCGGGCTCTGTGGTGACAGCTCAGAGCCTGGAACCTGCTTCGGATTCTGTGTCTCCCTCGCTCTCTGCCCCTCCCCCACTTACTCTCTGTTTCTCTCTCAGAAATAAACATTAAAATAAAGTTTTAAGAAAAGACCCCCAAATGAATACACAGTTCCCACCGTGAAGGAGGTAAGACAGGTGCCCCCAAGTAGGGGAAGAAAGCTGTTGGGTGCACTTGGCCTAGACTTGCTCTGAGCTGAACTGCCGGGGCCTCGGAGACTGGATCTTACCTGCAAGCTTTTCAGGGCCAGGCAGGCTGCCCTCTGGAGCTGGGGGTTTGCCTTTGTCAGTGCCTCACAGTAATACAGCAAGGCCTGGAAGAGAGGGAGGGACCCCGTGAGGACATTTTGATGTGTTTGCAGTTTCAGAGGCATCACTTTTACTCCCGGACCTAAACTATAGATAAAACGAGACATTTCATATGACCTTCAGAGCAAAAAAAAAAAAAAAAAAAAGAAAAAAAAATCCATAACAATTCATGTTTACTAAAAGAACTGTCTCTGAATTCAATCCATTACTCTATCAGGTCACAGACTCTGTGGACTATGAAGCTGGAAGGTCCAAAGTTACGTTTCCAGCATTCAAGAGCCCGAGGTCTAGCGCAAGTGCTAAGATTGCAGAAGGGTCTGTGGGGAAGGAATGTGTCTCCACAGAAGCTGCGAGACGCTAAGTGAATCGCGTGGAAGAAAGCCACCTTCCAAAGTGCCAGGACACGGTGCACGAAAATGATACTCGACCTGGACCGGGAAGGACGGGTTAGATTTCGGCCAAAATTAAGAGTTGGATGCTTATCAGACTGAGCCACCCAGGCGCTGCCCCCCCGCCCAATTATCTTTTAAGCTGGTTTAAGACCCAGGCCCTGCGTCACCAACCACTATGTGACCGGCTCTCTACTGTCTTTCTGATTTCCTATGACTTACGTTGACCTAATTATCATTACGTATGTACACATATGTACGCCTGTGTTTATATCTATTTCTACTCTCTCAACTTGCTCACGCGTGCTTTTGGCATTTTACTTAACTTCCTGTGCCTTAGTCTGTCAATCTGCAAAGTGAGTAGACTCAAAAGCCACTCACAGGCCTTTCTGATTCTTCCACATGGTGACACATGTCAAGGACTGAAATCCGGTCTTAGCACGAAGTAAGGCCTCGATAAATAGAGCTGTAGCGTTACTGTTATTCTCACATACATCTGCGTATTCACGTATTTGCTTATAGGAGATACAACAGTGACTCCATGTCTGTTGAAGCTCCCTAAAAGATGAAGATCTTGGATTTTTTGTTTTTTTAATCTTATTTGATTCCTTACAGCACCTAGAATGAATGATACCCTGCACTTAGTGACACCCATCAACTCTGGTGCCACCATCGTGCCTGGATGAAAGAGCTTGAAAGTGTAACCAAACACCTGCTGATGTGTTTGCTCATGGGATGGCACCTAGCACTGTGGTGGTCCCTCCCAGTTGTGATAAGACACAGCCTAGTTTCTCAGTGCTGGACAACAGCCCCACCCTTAAATTCTTTTGAACGTTTATTTATTTTTGAGACAGAGAGAGACAGAGCATGAACAGGGGAGGGTCAGAGAGAGAGAGGGAGACACAGAATCTGAAACAGGCTCCAGGCTCTGAGCTGTCAGCACAGAGCCCGATGCGGGGCTTGAACTCATGGACCGCGAGATCATGACCTGAGCCGAAGTCGGACGCTTAACCGACTGAGTCACCCAGGCACCCCAAGAACAGCCCCACCCTTAAAAAAATATGGAGATATAATTCACATACCATAATATTCACCCTTGAAAGTGTATGGCCCAGTGGTTTTTCATACACTCACAAAACATCACCACTACCTAATTCCAGATCATTTTCTTTTTCCTTTTTTTTTTTTTTAGTAATAAAGTTTATTTTTAGTTGGTACTAAGAGAAAGGGACCAGATCATTTCCATGACTCTAAAAAGAAATCCTGTACCCTTGGGCAGTCATTCCCCTGGTCTCCTCCCTCTAGTTCCTGGCAACCACTGATCCCTCTCTCTCTCTGCATTTCCCTAGTCTGGACATTTTGTGGGAACGGAATCACGTAACATGTGGCCTTTTACGTCTTGCACTTTCACTAGCCAGATGTGTTCAAGGTTCCTCCAGCACGAGTCAGAATTCCTTGTGTGTTGCATCATATTCCTCTGTAGGGACAGATCACATTTTGTGCACTCGTCAGCCGATGGACATTTGGACTGTTTCCACTTTTTGGCCGTTGTGAGTAATAATCATATTAAATGTCCCATTTCACTTAGGCTTTTGCATAGTTATCATCAATTGGTTTTTGACCTCCAGGGCCAGCCCTTGTGAAAATTGTAAAATGGATGAACTTTAGCACATGATGCTTCTCCATTTTCCCCGTCCATTTCCCTCCTGTACCCCTCCTAAGAGCTTCCAAGCTTTAACCACCTAACCAAAGTTTAACCCGTTGTGCAAAGCATACATTCCAAGGCTTAACTGGCCAAAAACAACTTAAATGGTTCTTCCTCTCAGGCATGTTTGCATGACACTGACTCAAGAGGGATGAAGTGCTGCATATGGGCCCGGTCAGTCCACCGCTGATAATGGGATCTTTGTTTTGTTTTGTTTTAAAATTTTTTTTCAATGTTTATTCGTTTTTGAGAGAGTGAGAGAGTGAGAGAGAGAGAGAGAGAGAGAGAGCACAAGCCACGAGCAGAGGAAGGGCAGAGAGGGAGACACAGAATCCGAAGCAGGCTCCAGGCTCTGAGCTGTCAGCACAGAGCCTGACGCGGGGCTTGAACCCACAAACCGTGAGATCATGACCTGAGCCAAAGTCGGATGCTCAGCCGACTGAGCCACCGAGGTGCCCCTGTTTTGTTTTTTGAATGTTTATTTATCTATTTATTTTGAGAGAGAGCGTGCCTATATGAGCGGGGGAGGAGGAGAGACAGGGAGAGGGAGAGAGAGAGAGAGAGAGAGAGAGAGAGAGAATCCTAAGCAGGCTCTGTACCACCAGCACAGAGCCTAACGTGGGGCTCGATCCATGAACCGTGAGATCATGACCTGCGCGCAAGCCAAGAGTCGAACGCTTAACCAGCTGAGCCACCCAGGTGCGCCAGGAACAGGATCTGTAGATGGGACTTCTGGACCACACTGTCCCTGTGAGCATGAAGCCCATAACTCTGCTGGCTTGAGTGGGAACTGGGCGCTGTTCCCCGGCCTGAGAAAGCATCTGGCACTTCTCTGTGCCTTGCAGAGATATACCATCTCACAGGACACATAAGCAGCATCTTGCTCACTTGGGTTTGAGCAGTGGCCCAAGAAGAGGTGGCTGCTGTGACATTTGGATCGATAAGAGTTATTTTTTTTAATGTTTATTTATTCTTGAGAGAGAGAGAGAGAGAGAGAGAGAGAGAGCACAAGCAGGGGAGGGGCAGAAAGAAAGGGAGACACAGAATCCAAAGCAGGCTCGAGGCTCTGAGCTGTCAGCGCAGAGCCCAACGTGGGGCTCAAACCCACAAACCATGAGATCGTGACTGGAACTGAAGTCGGATGTTTAACCGACTGAGCCACCCAGGTGCCCCACAACTGGTAGGAGTTCTAAGAAGCCAAGAGAAGGTGTGCTGTTAAGCAAGAGTCCCTGACACTGAACAGGACAGCGAGCATCTCCTCTGGCAAGTCCCAGATGATTGGAGAAACAACATCTCAACACAACGGTACAACTGGAAAGGATGGACATCTTCTACTTGTTTGGGGTGGGGGAGCAAAAAGCATCAAAAGTGAACCAACCTACAACTTTTAGTTTCAGTAGCTACGGGTTTTCAAAGGTTGAAGATTTATAGAAACACCAGCTCTCACCTAGGTATTTTTATATTTGCTTTAGCCCTTCACATGTGAGTACAGAATTAATGTGCCAACGTTTGCTATTTCATACAAGAAAAAATGGAAAGAACTCAAGGTTTGGGCACGGTGGGTCCAACATTTCTAGGTGATACCTAAGTTTCTAGCTTCTTAACTAGTGTGTCGTCTAAGCCATCTACAAGGGGACACTCTTTCGTGGAAAGCGAATCCAAGGGCATGACAACGAGAGCTGAACTGGAATAAAGAGAGAGCATGTGGCCAGTGGCATGTGCCCTAAAAGTAGAAGGCGCATACAGGAGAGGCAAAGAAGGGCTGTGTTGTAACTGCTGTGGTTGCTACTGTTTTCTGTGTTGTTTTTTAATTTTTGATGTTTATCTATTTATTGTAAAACTGAGAGAGCGAGTGGGGGAGAGGCAGAGAGAGGAGGAGAGAATCCCACACAGGGTCCACGCCGTTAGCACAGAGTCTGATGGGGGGCTCCATCCTATGGACCGTGAGATCATGACCTGAGCCGAAATCAAGAGTTGGATGCCCAACCGACTGAGACGCCCAGGTGCCCCAGGCTGCCTTTATCTAAGGAGACGCTAGACCATGGGTCCTTGTCATGACCAAAGGGCACTTGTCATGACCAAAGGGCACCATGATCCCACGCACAGAAGACTGTGTCTGTATAGGCTGCTACCAGCAGCGGTCACACGCCTTTAATTTTCCTCCTCTCTCTTCAGTAGAGTGAGGATGATTGGCCCATAGAACAGCCTGTTGAGCAAATCCCAGTAAAAGACTGGAGCTTTGTAGGAAAGAAGAACATGAAGTCCCTGCTCTTGGGCCCAGATGACCTTAGAATGGAAGGTCTTGTGGAGACACAAACATCCCACCATTCCCCAGCTTAGCTGACACCTCAGAGAAGTTAAGCTCTTCTCAGCTGTCAACATTTGACCTTTCCCAGGACAAGAAGGGGCCAACTTTGACTTTACTGAGCTGATCTGAGGGTGGGCATGAGCTGATTTTTAGAACAACTGTTCAGATTATAAAGGGGACCGAGCCGCTGTCTGTACGGGGCCCCTGCGTGCTTGAATTGCCAATGCCTGTTACACCCGGCTGGTACTGAATTAAAGCCACGGAGGGGTCAACCTCCTCTCCCCTGGCAAAAAGGAGTGATGGCTTTCGAAATTAAAAATATTCTTGTTCTTTGACTCAATGGTTTGATGACCGATGCCAAGTCACAAACGGTGTGTGCCTGTATGCTCATCATGATATTTTTCAGAGTTGGGATCTCCACAAAGGCCCAACAGTATGGAACAAGAAAATAAATTATAGAGTATCCATATACCCTGAGATGCACATTAACCCCTCAAATAGAATGAAGTAGATCAACATGTTCTAACAAGGAAAATAACCATGATCTATTACATTTAAAAACTCAGTTATGCGGGGCGCCTGGGTGGCGCAGTCGGTTAAGCGTCCGACTTCAGCCAGGTCACGATCTCGCGGTCCGGGAGTTCGAGCCCCGCGTCGGGCTCTGGGCTGATGGCTCAGAGCCTGGAGCCTGTTTCCGATTCTGTGTCTCCCTCTCTCTCTGCCCCTCCCCCGTTCATGCTCTGTCTCTCTCTGTCCCAAAAATAAAAATAAACGTTGAAAAAAAAAAATTAAAAAAAAAAAAAAAACAAACTCAGTTATGCAACAGAACAGTGTGATCTCATTTAAGAAAAAAAAATAATTATAGGGGCGCCTGGGTGGCTCAGTCGGTTAAGCGTCCCACTTCGGCTGAGGTCATGATCTTGCACTCCGTGAGTTCGAGCCCCATGTTGGGCTCTGTGCTGACAGCTCGGAGCCTGGAGCCTGCTTCGGATTCTGTGTCTCCCTCTCTCTCTGCCCCTCCCCTGCTCGCACTCTGTCTCTCTCTCAAAAATAAATAACTATTAACAAAAAAGAAAAAAATAATTATAGATGTTAGCATATGCATAGAAGAACATTAGAAGGAATGTACACCAAATCCCTAACAGTTTTCTCTGGGGGCTGGACTTATGGGCACTAAAATATTTACAGTATATTTTGTAGTTTAAATGGTGTTACAGGGTATGTATTATTAATAGGCAGAAGAAAATTATTTTTTTATAAGAAACATTTGGCAAAATATTAATAGTAAATGATAGAAAATTAAAGAAGCTTCTGGCTTGATGTCCGTGGTTTGGGGCTTTACCTTTTCCCTGAAGTGCTCGTTTCTGGAGGCTGCGGTCAAGTACAGCATCACAGCCTCACGGGCTTCCTGGTCATCGCCAGTCAGCAGCACAGCCAGAGTCCCGAGTACTTCCTGCTGGGCTGAGAGGCTGCCCGGTGCAAGGTCACTCATGGCCTGGAGCAGTTTCTCATCTCTCAGCGACTGCAGGGTCTGAATCAAGGAAACTAGCGAGTGAAAAGAAAGCAGAGTTCACTTTCTGATCATAAGGTAACACACTCACTAAAAATATACGACTCAAGTATACATGTAATAACAGACCCAAGTACGCAAAGTCAGCATACGACGAAGGTGATGTTTTGTCAGTGAGAAAAGGGCATGATTCTAGTAACTCTATTATGGTAAATGGCAAACCTTAATAGGGAGTAGCAAAGGCAGATCTCCATCTTGTACGGCCGCTAAAATAACTTCTAGATGAATTAAATAGTCAAATGTAAAAATATACAGCGAAGGAACTACAAGTAAACTTGTAGTTTACTACAAGTAAAATCTTCCCGATGAGAGCCGACTCTGTTGCCGATCTTTTAGCCATACCCGTCTGGCAATCCCCTGGCCCCGAGTGACCCCAGCTTGATGTTCTCTCTGTCTGCACTCGGGCACCTGGGCTGGGATGGAGAAATCCAGCTGGTTGGCTGGAATATGGAGATGATATGATAAAAAATAAACTTCTGAGTCCCATTTGGACAAGCTGATGATGTTCCATGACCAAGGAATGTATTCTGATCCCTCATAAAGTACCCGGTGCAGGCATCTATTAGTCACCGAAACATCAGGATAAGAGTGTATCTGGTCAGTACAGATGGGAAATGATAACCTAAAATTCACGATCCATCAGTAGACAGCATCCACTATTCAATGGACACGTTAGTGAATTTTTGAGATTTTTTTTTTGGCTTTAATTTCCTATTTCTGCTGCTGGGGATGTTGTGGTCATTTCACTGCTTTTTAAATAAATGCCACAGCATAAGGTCTCGAGACAGTATTACGTATAGCAATGGAACAAACAAATCATGGAAAACAACCTAACTGTTCAACAGTAATCAACTATATTCGCATGCACCCAAATGCAGGGATACTACAAAACTAAAAAAAACTTTCAAAGGATAACATGGGATATAATATCAAATAAAAGCTAGGACTGAATGCTTTATAATAGGTCATCACAGCTTTGAAATGTCAAATCCATGCATATCCAACTAAAAATACATTAAATTTTAAAAGTAAGATAGTAGGTGATTTGAATATTTTTAGGTGTACTTTTTTGTTTTCTAGTCTTTTTTTTTTTTTTTTAAATAATGAGGGCCTTTTTCTTATTTAAAGGAAGAAGAAAACAAAAAAGACATGTACAGGGTTAGGGTTTCTCCACGGTCCTCCTCCACTCCTACTGGTAAGTAGGTACGCCTTCCCCGGGACCGTCGGGGGGAGGCTCAGGGATGTCAGCTGCTACTGATGTCATTTGAACAGCAGAGAAAATTTACTCAGAAAACTGCTTTAGAGACAGTGACAAACTTAGAGAAGATAGGAAGACTATCCTCAAGTGAGATCCTGTGGTCTCCCGCCTCGGTTCTCCTTCTAGAACTCTGGACCAGCATTTACTCATCACGAGGGCTACACAGACTCTCCTGTGTTCGGGCTGGCTTAGGCACCGGGTCGGGGGGAGAAAGTACGTCTTCTCACTGGGATGTGAGCTCTGTGACGGACCTGTCAGTGCAGGGTTCAGCGTTCTGGAGGGAAGGGCTAAGTCTGGTGCCGAGCCAACCCGTCTACTCCTAAAGAACACACTGCAGTCCCACTCCCTTTCACCGGCAGCGGTGAAGTCTGGGTGGATTTACAGAGCACAGACTGGGGAGCCAGAACCCAGCCCCTCGCTGCCTGGCTCCGCCCCCAAAGAGGTTTCCTCTCACTGCAGCTGCTTATTTTATTTTCAGCATGTGACACCACGCGAGAAGCAAGGCCATCATGAACGTCAGGCCACCCCGCCGTGCTGGTGCCCGTTCTGCACCCTCCCCAGAGACACAGCCCGAGACGTGGTTTTCCATCTCCTTTGCTGACCAACATGTCGCCCCATCTGCCTTGTCGTGAATCCCATTGCGGACTGTTATGAAAGTGCCTCCAGAAAGGGCAACGTAACACAGTACTGCCTGTAGGCTCGATCCCACAAACGGCAAATACATTCGTGAAGAAATGACATCATTAAATCAGCTTCTGGTCAACGTCGTATCCTTGCTGGGTGATCAGGATGCTCTCGGTACACCCCTGGTTCATTGCCAAGAGGCTCACTACTGTTAGGGGTCCAGAAGTCATTGAAAAGGCTGATCTCATCCCAGCTGTTGACTTGGGGGAAGAAATGGTTACCAGCCCTAAAAACTATGACTGAAAAGACCAGAGCTCACTCCAAATGGAGCCACCACACGGTGCAACGAAAGAACACGTCCCACCTTGCTTGGCCAGCTGGTTCAAGTAGCTCTCTAGGTCGCTCACACCGTGGCTGGTGAAGTAACCGTAATATTGGAAAACGGTGATGACCTCCGAAGAGAGGCTGGAGGGGAGCAGAGGCTCAGCCTGGTCCAGGATTTGGGACACCAGTGTTCGAAACACTGTTTGGAAGGAGAAACACAAAGAGGCTTTGAAGTGCCACGAGCACTCATTCGTTCACCTGTCTTCGTACCGTGGGGTACGGCAGAGCACAGTACGTGAGACGAGCTAGTCCTCAGTGAATAGCTGGATGATTACTGGACGTACGTATACATACCTGTGTAACTGCGTTGGGTCAAGAACAGAACACTGCTGGCACCCCACCTGGTTGACTCATGCCCCCATCTCAGTGCCCCCCTCAGATCCCCCCACCCCCACCACAGGTAACTGATAATCTGACTTCTATCACTAGGACTCAGCTTTACCTGTTCTTGAACATCATATAAATGGGATTATACAGTATATACTGTTTGTATCTGGTTCCTTTCACTCAATAAAATATTTGTGGGATTCACCTACATTGTTGCTTACAGTTTATTCTTCTTAAAAATTGCTGTGTAATAGCCTATTGTATGACTGATGCTATAAATACACAATATACACATATATACAATATTATATACATACACATTATACACACACACATACACAACACATTTATTTTCTTGTTGGTGGGCATTTGAGTTGTTTCTGATTTTCAGTTCTTGTGAAGAAAGTGCTATGAACCTTTTTTGAGAGTCTAAGCATCTATCTCCCTTGACACATTTAGGAGCGGAATGGCTGGATCATAGGGTAGGTATATTTAGCTTTAGTAGAAATTGCCAAACTGTTTCCCACGTGGTTCCACCATGGGACACGCTCCTGTTGGTAACATTTTAATGAAAAACATATACAGCCACCTAAACAGCAACACGGACGCACAGTGCTTTTAAAAGTCACCACTGGGGCGCCTGGGTGGCGCAGTCGGTTAAGCGTCCGACTTCAGCCAGGTCACGATCTCGCGGTCCGTGAGTTCAAGCCCCGCGTCGGGCTCTGGGCTGATGGCTCGGAGTCTGGAGCCTGTTTCCGATTCTGTGTCTCCCTCTCTCTCTGCCCCTCCCCCGTTCATGCTCTGTCTCTCTCTGTCCCAAAAATAAATAAACGTTGGAAAAAATTAAAAAAAAAAGTCACCGCTGAGATTCCGAGTTGGAACATGCTCGTGCCCTTTCTTTTCTTAGAGTAGACGATGGACAGATGACGTCTTCTCCGGAGCGTCAGCCTTTTCTCCAGGGCTAGCTGCTGGGGAAGTGGTGAGGGGCAGCCCGCCAGTGCTCGCCCTCAAACCAAACGGCGGACCCCTTCCTCCCCGCCCCTGCCCTGTACCTGGGTCTGCGAGTCCTGGATATTCTCTGTTGACGGTTATGGCAAAGCTGGCTTCCAGCTGCTTCATCACTCTGTCAGCCGAGCTGTGGTAGACCCCCACCGGGCTGCAGCACCTCGTCCAGAATGACAGCAAAGACAGCTTTTTGTGAAATTCTGGGATGGCTGGAAAAGAAGGGCAACCCCCACCCCCAACACACAGTTGGAACGAAGCAGATGAAGAGAATGCGCCTGTGTGGGGGTGGGGCAGGCATCACTGGCCCCCCCCGCCCCTTTTTAAAGACGGTGGTTTTTAAAAGTTTAAAAATTTTTTTTTTTTTATTTGAGAGAAAGAGAGAGAGAGCGGCGGACAGGCAGAGAGAGAGGTGGGGACAGAGGATCCAAAGCAGGCTGTGTGTTGACAACAGACAGCCTGATGCGGGGCTCGAACCCATGAACTGTGAGATCATAACCTGAGCTGAAGTCAGATGCTTAACCAACTGAGCCACCCAGGTGCCCCAAGACTATGGTTTTTACATAAAAAAATATTTACTGATTTTGAGAGACAGTGGGGGGGGGAGGGGCAGAGAGAGAGAGGATCCCAAGCAGGCTCTGCACTGTCAGCACAGAGCCTGACATGGGGCTCAATCCCATGAAGTGTGAGATCAAGAGTTGGATGCTTAACGGACTGAGCCACCCAGGCGCCTCTAAATTTTTTTTTAAGTAGGTTCCACACCCAACGTGGGGCTTGAACTCATGACCCGGAGAACCACAGTCTCCTTGTTCCACCGAACGAGCCAGCCAGGCATCCCCTAAAGACTGTGGTTTAAAATTATTTTTTTAATTAATTTATTTATTTAGTTAATTAATTAATTAATTAATTAATTTATTTAATTTATTTAATTTATTTTTGAGAGAGAGAGAGAGAGACAGAGCATGAGTGGGGGAGGGTCAGAGAGAGAGAGGGAGACACAGAATCCGAAGCAGGCTCCAGGCTCCGAGCTGTCAGCCCGGAGCCCGACGCGGGGCTCGAACCCACGAACTGTGAGATCGTGACTTGAGCTGAAGTCGGCTGCTCGAGCAACTGCGCCACCCAGGCGCCCCTAAAAACTGTTTTTTAACTGGAACTACAAGATTCCTCTGTAGTTGGCAGATTTTCTAAAGGGCAGGGAACTTATGACTGGGAGCTCATCTAGCCCTGGTGGCAAAGAAAACACAGCAAAGGCAAAGCTGTTTGCTTTCGGTGAGAGAAAACCCAGCAGCCCTCCTCTCAGAAGATGCTCTCACCATCTCCCCCCCGCCGTAACTTTCCTGCAAACCCGGCTACAGGATCAGAGAATCACCCCTCAGGAGATGTTTCTGAAGGGGCCGTAACACATCAGGAGGTGGGCTGGGGGATTGTGACACCCGCCTGGGGGGGCCTCTCTGGCTGAAATGGCGAAGAGCACCGTGTAGGCAGCACACGGTCAGTGACCGTGAAGTCGTGACCTCATGCGGTTGGGACCATGAGGAGGTGCCTGGGAGCCGGGAGGACGCGAGTCACTGGCGTCCTCGGCTTCCTGTCCCCTTTTACGCCTCTCAGACACCTGCCGAGGTCACCGGCTCCCAGGAGGACTGGATGCGGGAGGCACAAATCTAAAACGGGAACCTACAGGGAGGTCTCTTCTAGGCTGGATCTGAGCGACCCAGAGAAGAGTCTGGCGCCCCACTACCTCCACGAGATGTGTGTTGTGAACAAAGACGAAAACTCCTGTCTTTATAAAGAGCTCCGTGGCCAGACCACGCGAGTTCAAAGGCAGCTTCCCCACGTCAAGTTCTCCACCTAACCGTCTTGGAACCGGGGACTTTCCTGAGAGCCTGCCAGCGTATTTCTACCTTTTCCAAGGCCAGCTGGGGAGTGTCCTGCCTTTGCCAGTCAGCTGCTGTGGGAGCTGTGTCTTCACCAGCAACACGGCACAAGCACAGTCCCGGTCGCCTGTCCCCCCAATGGAACCGCGCTGGTAGGAAAAGTCCGTGAGACCGCCTGCGAGGCGCACGCTGGTTCTGCTTAGACACGGGTGTCTGACTTCCGGAGGTGGGGGGCTGGCCCCATGGACAAAACCGTGTTCTGCTGGTTTGACTCCGAAGGCTGAGGCGCAGTGTCAACGAGATGGCACCAGTCCACGCTGCTGGGCACTGGCCACTGGCCGTTCCTCCACTGTCATGCCTTCCTGCCGGCCCCACGGAGCAAGGGAGAGGCTGGGGGTGTGGCACACACGTGCTTACCTTCAATGACAGAACTGATGTTCCCTATGTTCTCATCGCTGACGGCTGACAGCTTCTCCATCACCTGGACTTGCCGAGAAAGCTTCTCCAAGAGGTTGCTCGCCACAAATGGGGTTTTGCTTGAGAAAACAATTTGCTGAGAAAACAAAGAAGCCGCCGTGTCAATCACGCCCACTGTCGTCAGCGGAGGTTTCCCGACCCAACCCCGTCCTTCCTCCCACGGCCGTCACGCTAAATAGGCCTGCACCGTGTTCTGTTCTGGCGGGAGAACGTTCCTCGTTCTGTGCCAGTTACAACACCCGACGAAATCACACGTGTTTTTGTTGCCTCTCAACTTTTTCCGTGCCTGTATGGATTCTGGGATTTTTTCACTAATAGAGCCACGAGGTTATTATCAAGTTGAGGCTCTGTAAATCCTCTTTGAAACTTAGAAGGCATATTCAGGCTGCTTCTCTGTGTGCTCACACAGATAAAAAAAGATTGCCTTCCCAAGTAGTCATTTTTCCCAGCACGGATTTCTTTCCTTGTTTTCAAGCTGGAAATGAAGAATGTGTGGTATAATAATCATGATTATAATCAAGGCTTTCTCATTCTAATTAACGAGTGCTGATTATGTACCAGGCACTGGTCTGAGCCCGTGTATTAGCTCATGCCATTGCTCACCACCACCTTAGGAGGTGGGTACTGTTGATGTTCCATTTTACTGCTGGGGAAACTGAGGCACAGAGCGGTCCAGTAGCATGCCCAAGGCCACATGAATAGTAACTGATTTCATTTGAGTGCAGGTCACAAGAGTAAAGGGCATGAGAGAGGACAGAAGTCACTTGTTGCCTGAAGGTTCTAGACCTTTCTGTGTGCCTCAGAGACCTGTCCAGTCACCTGGTGGGTATGGATACAGGGAGCTGACCTGTATTGCCATCCTCCCCTGTCTAAACCATGTAGATTCTATGCACATATGATTTCCAATCTCCGAGCCTAGTGTAGCAATTATGTGCTGATGCCTTTCACATATGTAGATACAGCAGAAGTGAACTGACTTCAGGCATAACATATGGTCCACGTGGGATGCCTGTTTTTTTCTCTTTGCAATTACATTCCGAATGAAGATGTAAACTCACCGATGCGGCAGTGGGTGTGGGTTAGAAATTACGTTTCTAATCCTTAATCCTTTACATCTCTGTACGTGTGCCTCTTCTGGTTTTTTTGATGCTGATTTTCCCCACAGTGGGGCTGACTTGTTATGACCATGGTCTGGTCTGAGTATTGGGAAGAACGCTGCACTGAATATTTTTAAATTTTTTTTAGTTTATTTATTTTTTGAGAGACAGATAGTGCACAGGGGAGGGGCAGAGAGAGAGAGAGAGAGAGAGAGAGAGAGAATCCCAAACAGGATCCATGCACTGTCAGCACAGAGCCTGACGTAGGGCTCGAACTCACGAACTGCATTGCACTGAATATTGCTTGTCAATTAGTCTTTGAGAGAAAACATTCATTCCTTCATGGAAGAGAATTCTCTTATGTCTCACAAGATAATGACTTTACCTCTACAGTGCCAACAGGTAGTGTGCTCAGCACAGAATCAGGCTCAGCAAGGGCGAAGAGTTGTGAAAACCATCTTATTCAAGTGGTTGGATAGAGAATAGTTATAAGCAAACAACAACCCTTTCCCATTTTGGTCAGAAAAAAACCACTGCGCCTTCTGCCAGATTGGTTGTCAGTAAATGGCTGGCAAATTCAACAGTCAACAGAAGAGATCAACTGGGATGTTGGCCAACCTAGCGGTAAGAGTCGTAATTGCCAACCAGTTTCCCACAGTGTCTGAGGTGACTCTGGGGTTGTTTGTTCACGGAGGAAAGTATATTCTCCATCTCATCACAAGTGCATTATGGAAAAAGCACACTAACCCACCTCTGGCCTCTCTGGGACCCCCCTCCTCCTTACCCTGCCTCTTGTCTGCCACTTGGTCCCATGCTCTTAGGAGCACGATTGATTGATTGACTATTTATTTATTTACGTTTTGCACCCTTCCTGTCTGGCCAACCCCCCTGAAGACCATTACCCATTTGCTTTCACATTCTCATCCTGTTCCCCACACATGCAAACAGGCTGGAGAAGACAAGCAACCAGGCGAGGAGTAAGTATTTAAGGAGATGCTTGGGGCAGGAGGTGGGGAGCACTTCGTTCAAGGGAGCTAACGCACTTCCTGCAACCAAAGAACTTCAAAATATCCGCTTCACTGTTGCAAAATCTTAACAGGTAAGTAGCCTGAAATGAGAAGACAAACAAGTCCCATGGCGTCCCAGAACGAGCGCCTACCTGGCAACGATAATGGCCTCTGGAACTATTCTTTCTCGCTGCTGATACGTACTTATTCAAGATCTGGGAAACCGTGCTTATATCCTGCACCATTTCGCCTTTAGCCGTCCAGGTGCAGTGACAATATCCACACTACCGTGTGCCCTGTAACACTGGCTTTCGAAGTCCACCCCTTTGTAGATGGCACAATGCAATTTTTTTTCCCTTAGTCACGTTACTCTTCTCTTTTGGCAAACGATTTGAAATCAAGAGCTAACCTATTGCACGTTCGAGTGCGGAGAGCTAGGTTTCAAGATAGAAAACCTAGGGTTCAGGGAGGATGGCCAGGGCCATCAGAACTTTCGAGTCGGCCCAAAGCGAAGCAGGCTTGTTCTCATATTCCTGAATGTTCATTTCTCTGGCAAAACTGAAAAAAGGTAGCACACATTCTTGGTGCATCAAGAGCCTGGGGTCTAAAACAAACACAGTCGCCGAGCCCACCTGAACGAGTTGGGTGCAATACTGAAGGTGCCTGACGATGGTGATGTCCAGGCTCTCATTTCCTGTGGTCAGGGGGAGGGGGCTTCCGGCCACACTGGTCCCGACTCCTGTGTCTTCTGTCAGCGCCTCGCTCAGGTGCCCCCTGGCCTCTGGGTGTACCGACCTGTAAGGGCTGAAGCAGGAAGGTGAGCGCAACGTTAGTAGTTTCTTTTAGCGGGGAAACCCCAGGTCAACCCTACGAAGCTCCCAGAAGGCCCCAAGTAGCACCTACCGCAAAGAGGCTGTCTCTAGCCTTGGAAAACCGAGAGACCTTTCAAAAGCTACTTCTTGATTCAGCCCAGTCACCAATGTGCCGTATTAAAAGATCACACAAACAAACTGCTTCCAGAATTTGCTTCTCAAGCACAGTGAATCGGTGTTTCAAAAATTTTAATGTGTATTTATTTTTGAGAGAGAGAGAGAGCGAGAGTGAGAGCGAGAGAGAGCACAAGTGGGGAAGGGCCAGAGAGAGAGGGAGAAAGCAGAATCCGAAGCAGGCTCCAGGCTCCGAGCTGTCAGCACAGAGCCTGACGTGGGTCTTGAACCCATGAACTGTGAGATCATGACCTGTGCTGAAGTCGGACGCTTAACAGACTGAGCCACCCAGCTGCGCCCAGCAGTGAGCCATTTGTAAAGCAGGCTCACCAAGGAATCTGCCCTCATGGTGCACCTGTTACACTTTCTTGCTCTGGGGATGGGGCGCTTTGCCAAATATCCTGGGATTAAATTGTCCTCTATAGTTGTGGTTTCCCAAGAGCAATTCCATTAAGAAATAATGTCAAGGCTTTTTTTTTTTTTTTTTTGGCCTCAGATCAATTGCTACTAGAAGAGAAAGAAAAAGGAAAACTGTCAACAGGAGGCATGATGTTCTACCCCAGACAAAGGCTAAAAGGCGTTTATTGGACTCTTCCAAGGCAGAGCTTGGTTCTGCCTCTCACACCTTGTTTACTCCCCGCTGGTGAACTGTCTAAACCTGGGATCGTGACGGGCACTTATGTTTACAAATAAATATGTTGCCTCTATGATCCAATTTTGTTCTTAAAATTAATCTGTGTGGGAAAGAGGGAAGAGCTGTCTCATTTCACACTGGGAGGACTGACGGGCAGAGGGGTTCCCCGTGGGGTCCTGTTCACACGGCTAGACAGCGACCGGGCAGCTGCTGGCTTCCGGGCTCCTGGCCTCCAGCCTCCATGATTTAAAAATTTTTTTTTTTCAACGTTTATTTATTTTTGGGACAGAGAAAGACAGAGCATGAACGGGGGAGGGGCAGAGACAGAGGGAGACACAGAATCGGAAACAGGCTCCAGGCTCTGAGCCATCAGCCCAGAGCCCGACGCGGGGCTTGAACTCACGGACCGCGAGATCGTGACCTGGCTGAAGTCGGACGCTTAACCGACTGCGCCACCCAGGCGCCCCTAGCCTCCATGATTTAAAGAGATCGTGAACCTGAGCTAAGAGGCACTGGATGCTTTACTCCACTGCACACCTGCCTCCAGGGGAAAGCACTGTGCCTGCATCCTGGCCATCAACACATATTTAATACTCACACATGGGGGTGCCTGGGGGGCTCAGTTGGTTAAGCGTCCGACTCTTGGTTTTGGCTCAGGTCATGATCTCAGTTTCGTGAGTTCAAGCCCCACATGGGGCTCTGTGCTGGCAACACGGAACCTGCTTGGGATTCTCTTTCTCTCTCTCTCTCTCCGCCCTTCCCCAACTTGTGCTATCTCTGTCTCTCTCAAAATAAATAAACTCAAAAAAATAAAATAAAAAAATAAATAAAACACACAATTTTCACAATTTTCCCTAATACCACTGAGGACATATACTAAAGTTGATCGATTCAGTCAATTTAATATCAACGTTCTATAAAACGTACAAAATCTACGAGGTTTTTGTTGTTAAAATGCTTCTGAGAGCCAGAGAACGAAGCTTAGACTGATGTCTGACTCTGACATATTATGTAATGAGGAGACAGATTTTTGGTCTTGCAGCATTTCACAAATTCGATCAAATTGGAGAAATCTCAGCATAGAATGCAGGGGCATCGCTTAAATATTGCATTCGTTTAGTAACTTTTGTTTGCCGTGTCCTCAGTTTGCTCAAAGCATAAATTCTAGTTCTCACTTTTTCTCTTCCTGGTTTTGGAAGAAGAAAGCCTCCAGGAACAAGAAAACCCCCAAACACTGACATAACATCACCCGCAGAGAGGTTCGTGGCGGCGTAACTTGAAAACCTGTTTACATAACACGGCAAAAGTAAAGATGGTGAAAATCTGCCCTTTCCTTTGGGAAAGTGTGTGAGTGTGTGTGTGTAGTGAAGGTGAGCAAATTCCACTGTGCTTGGTTTGCTTCGTTCAAGTTACAAAACGGACCCCAGACGCTAGTGCCAAAGACAAGGTGTGGCCGCACACGGAAGGCTGATAGAGAAGGTGACAACAATCCCCCTTCCTCTTCCCTTCCCTCCCCAGAGAAGGCCTCATTCTCCACCTGCTGGGCTGCAGAAGCAGAAGAAATCGTTACCAGTTATTGGTCATCCCTGTTACATTCTGAGGCAATTATGTGCCCGGACTTAAACCTGACATTGACGCGTGCACGGATGAGGTTAACGTATAGCAACTTTGCCAAAGGGAGCAAGAGATACAGGGGTGGAAAAAGCAGAGCACAACAAAATGAAGAGATAAGAAATAAGACACGCAAAGAGAGGAGAACCAGGTACAGGTGGATCATCCAGTAAGAGGTCTCCAGACACATAGCACGCTTCGTTAATTTGGAATTCATTGCACTGGGGGCAAGTTGTTGACCCCCGGAGCCTCCAAGATATCGGTGTGCACAAAACACATGCCCATACAAAAGTTTCCCCTTATTTACAACGAAGAAAGGTGATTCATTTTCCCTTTGACAACACAAGAGAGGTGAACAACATTTAAAAATGGCCCTTGCCAATAAGAGGGAATTGAAAGCCAGTTGGTCATTCGTGTAGGGAGTTTTCTCTTCCTGGAGATGTGCATGGGTCCCGTCTGAGAGTAACAAAGAACCACTGTTCAGAAGAGAGGTAAGTGGATGCTGACTTCACACTTACCTATTTTTCTCCGTCTCAGTGTCTGAAAATACCGAGTCCGTGCCTCCTCCAACAGTACAAACCTCATCACCATCCTCCTCCTCGTCAAAATCAGAGGTGTTCAGGAAATCAAAGCTTTCTAAAGCACTTTCGACTGTAAGACTTAAACTGGAAGACCGGCTGCGGTTTCCGGCTGGCTTACACTGCAAAGGCAGAAGGCATCGGGGAGAAGGTCAACATATCCAGAAGCAGAAACAGAACAGGCAACACTCGATCTGAGATGCGACACTTTCTTTTTTTCCAAGCTTTTATTTTTTGTTGTTGTTGGCATTTAAAAAAATATGCATTTAAAATCTTCGCATTAAAAAAAAAAAAAAAACCTACAACGATGGATTAAATGACACAGGATCTGGGATTCGTTCCAAAATGACCGGGGGGAAAAAAAGCGGGGGGGGGAGAACAGACGGAACAAGACTGGCTGTGAGCTGACATCGTGGAAGCTGGGGGATGGGCGCACTGGGAGCCGTTACAGGATTCTCTCTACTTCTGCTCAAAAGTTTTTAAAAAAATTTTTTATTTAAAAATTTTTTTAATGTTTTTATTTATTTTTGAGACAGAGAGAGACAGAGCATGAGCAGGGAAGGGGCAGAGAGAGAGGGAGACCCAGAATCGGAAGCAGGCTCCAGGCTCTGAGCTGTCAGCACAGAGCCCGACACGGGGCTCGAACTCACAGACTGCGAGATCATGACCTGAGCTGAAGTCGGACGCTCAACCGACTGAGCCACCCAGGCACCCCTACGTCTGCTTGAAAGTTTAGAATAAAAAGTTGAGGAAACACTACAGCCCAGAAAGCCTTGGGAAACGGAACTGCCATACCCCTCTGCCTAGAGCTCAACTCCAAAGAAAATACAACCAGCAGACAAATCTAGAAAGTCACGGAGTCCGTGCCAAATAGGAACCAATCTGTAACGTGTGCAGTGTCCCGAGACAGGAGCTGACTGCCCAAGGAAACTGTTCTAAAGGATTAAAAAAAAAAAAACCAACCCCAGGAAGAGAAAACGACTCAAACTCAGACTTAACTCATACTCCCTAGGCAAGCGTATTAATTTTACACTCACGGCATATCACTTTCTTTGAGCGCTGAGGAGAAAAGGAAGGGTACAGGCCCAGCAAGAAGGGTCCCTGCTTCCTCTCCGGAACAAATCCCGTCACTTCCGTGACTGGGCCCTGGGATACTGTGGGCAAACCCATCCTAGGGCCTGGGGAATTCTGGATTGCTAGACACAGACAGAAGCGACAAACAGCGTAACGCCAGTTGCTACGGGCACAGAGATGGAAAGAAGTCCTTCCAAATATTCAAGAGGACGGGCGCTGGGGCGGACTGAACGGGACAAGTCTTGTGAGTCAGAAGAACTGCATGTCCACCCTCTCAGGCTCTCCTCGCTGACTTCGCAACACAAGGCAGGCAGCGCCTCGCAGAGAGCTGTCTCTGATACTCAAGATGGCACAAAAGCACGGGGGGGAACCGTCTTTCGGTCTTTTAAATCAGAGTTGTTTCCTTCACCCTCAGTGATCTCCGTCCCAGGGGCAGCATCATTTAGTTTCTGATCCTCAAGAGGCTTTAGCATCCTAGGAATGTGAAGGGGGGGGGGGGGAGAAAAGAGAAAGCTTTGTCCAGCTGATGCTTTAATTCTGGCTGGATCTAAAGCCATTTGCCCCAGCCCTCAACTCGAATGCTGTTTTCAGTCTCAGACAGATAGAAGGAGCCGGTCCAGACTCAACCCACCTCTAGGGTCTTCGTTCTTAAGTACCTATCTGCTGAACTTGACCTGGCACGGTATGGATGCGTTTACGTATCGATCATAACGAAGGGAGGGACAGTAAAAGATTTTAGAGGCAGGACCGTTCTGGAACAACAGCAGATTGAAATAACACTCTGGAAAGAAATCTGTGACCCCCAGGTTTTTTATAAGACTAACAGATGCGGTGCTTAGTGTTTCCTGGTGGGCCCAGATACTTCTCAGCAATCCAGATGTCTGGAAATGGGAACTGGTATCTCCACTTGCTTTCTCGAAGGCATCTGCGAGAGGTGGGGTCAGTTGTCTTTAAACTGAACACCTTTCGCCCACTAAGCAAAGCTGGTCACCTATGCAGAAGAGAGCTTGTTGGGGGGTTAGAAGATGTTTTCACTGGAGTACTAGGCAAGCAGCATGAACACACGGGTCCTGAACGGGCACTTTTATGTTTTACAGAAGGCAGATTCAGAGCGTCCTCTCAGAGGCTATACCAACAAACTGAATTAGTCCGTCATGGGCACTAGAGGATCTGCGGAGTTGGGACTGAAGTCTCATCTGCCCTGGGGACAAATCCCCCTCCAAGCTAGGGGAGCATGACTGAGAAGGCTAAGAGAGTCAGAGAAGCCTTGGAAATGTGTGGAAATGTATTTCCCACGGGCCACTGAGAAGACCACATCTGAAAAACAGTCATTCCAAGGGACACAACAGCCTTCTGTGGGTGGGATCTCGGCTCGCCGCTGCCACCTTATTTTCAAGCCTATTTTATAGCACAGGTCACCAAAGAATTGCTGTTTCCTGGAAAAGGACCCGATTTCTTTCCTGTGTGGCAACCTTAGAGTAGCAAAGAACACAGAAGTGGCGTGGGATTCGGGACAGAATCAGGTCCTGTCTTCTTGTGCCGTGTTTTCAAAAGTTTAATCTGTATGCCCGGTAGAAACATACATTCCGGTGTAGCAACAATGATCCCATCGTTAGGAACCCCCGCCTGTGCGGAGATCATCCCTCTTGCTCTCTGCTCCCACCACGTCCACACTGAGCTGTCTGATCAGGAACAGGGTGGAGAAGGACATCTCTGGTGGACTTGGGGGTCCCTGGCTTCTAGAACACAGCAGGTGACGATTGGTGCTGGATCTATCTCAGATTCCGACTCACTGGTTGGGACAAGTCTGGAGAAGGGACTCTTTGGAGGCCGTGCCTGGGGCTGGCGGGGAGGCCTGTGGGGGGGGGGTGCGGAGGGGAGAGACCCATGGCTCCACCCATGCCTAAGTCTTGATCAGTCAGGAAGGGATCCTATCCAGTAGCATCTCAGTGACATTATGATCATCAAAATGCCTCTGTTTCACATCACATCACATCACATCACATGGGTTTACAGTGACTAACTCTGGGACCGAAGGGGCTCAGCCACTCCTGATCGTCTTAGGTACGTCGATCTGTTGTGAGGAAAGACGAAACTTAACACGTGCTACCGGGGTGGAAAAGTCAGCGCCAAAGGATGGTTATCTATCGGTCAGGGAAAGATAGATACACAACTTTGCACAGAAGCTGGCCTCAGACGCCTCTCTCCAAACCTAGTCTGGTTTCCCTGAAACGGTACTTACTTTTAGAATATCATCCAAATGCTTGACTTCTTGGTTCAGATCCTGAAACTCCTTATACTGCTCCTTGTGGGGCTCCAGCGCAAGGAAAAGCCCGCTGAAGGCGTCCTCCAAGCTTCCGTCCAGGAAGGATCGACAGCCTTCGGATTCTCCGCTGACCGAGCCCTCGGAGAGCAGCCTGTCCGCGGCCGCGGGCGCCTCGGCCGAGGTCAGCCTCTTCACCAGCTGCTTCGTGAGGTTTCCTTCAAAAGTGTCCAGTTCGACCGGCTTGAGCTCGGACGCCTCGTCGGACTCCCGCAGGAGCGCCTCGGCCACCTCCTTCTCCAGGAACAGGCGCTCCGGCCCAGTACCTGCCGCCGCTCGGCGCTCCGGGGGGATCCTGGGCCCGGCTGGGGGCTCCTCCGGGGGCGGCTTGGCCTCCCGGCCCGCTCGCGAGGAGTTTCTGGAAGATGCCGAGCCGGAGTCTTCCGTGCCCTCGTTGTGGGAGGACGGGCTGCTGGGGCTCAGCTCTGCGGGGGTGATGGTGATTTCGGGGTTTGCCGCACCTGCGCTGGAGAGAGAGCCCGCTGGGTCCGGGGTGAGGGCGCAGTCCTCGTTGGGCAGGTCACCGAAGCTGAGAGACAGTGGCGTTTTCTCCTCAGCGGCCTTGCCATTTTCAAAGACGTCATCGGGTAGATTAGACTGTGGATAAAAGGCGTCTCGTTATTATTTTAAAAATTTTTAATGTTTATTTATTTTTGAGAGAAAGAGTCAGGGAGTGAGCAGGGGAGGGGCAGAGAGAGAGGGAGACAGAATCCGAAGCAGGCTCCAGGCTCTGAGCTGTCGGCACAGAGCCTGACGCGGGGCTCGAACTCGTGAACCGTGTGTGAGATCATGACCTGAGCCGAAGTCAGATGCTGAACCGACTGAGCCACCCGGGAGCCCTGACACCATTATTTTTAAATACAAATTATATGCTTGGTGTGGTTTGTGTGCAGACAAGATACGAGATCATTAAAGTAAACAACCGGCACTTTCATGATATTAACGTTTCATTTGTTGATTGTGTGTATGTGTGTGTGTGTGGGGTTATGTGTGTGGTTGTGTGTGTGGTTGTGCGTGTGTATGTGGTTGTGTGTGTGGTAGTATGTGTGTATGTTTGTGGTTTGTGTTGTGTGTGGTTATGTGTGGTTGTATGTGTATATGTGTGTGTGTGTGTGTGTGTGTGTGTGTGTGTGTGTGTGTGTGTGTGGCAGTGTGTGAATGTGTGTGTGGTTGTGTGTATGTGTGTGGTTGTATATGTGTGGTTGTGTATTTGTGTGTGGTTGTATGTGTGTGTGTGGTTTTTGTGTTGTATGTGTGTGTGGTTGTATGTGTGATTTGTGTGTAGTTGTGTGTGTGTGTGGTTGTGTGTATGTGTGACTTGTGTGTGGTTGTATGTGTGTGTGGTTGTGTGTATTTTGGGTGTGTGTGTGTGTGTTTTTTGTTTTTTGTGTTTCGTTTGTTGTTTGTGTGTATGTGTGTGTGTGTGTGGTTATGTGTGTGGTTGTGTGTGTGGTTGTGCGTGTGTGTGTGGTTGTGTGTGTGGTAGTATGTGTGTATGTTTGTGGTTTGTGTGTGTGTGCTTATGTGTGGTTGTATGTGTATGTGTGTGTGTGGTAGTGTGTGTATGTGTGTGTGGTTGTGTGTATGTGTGGTTGTGTGTGTATGATTGTATATGTGTGGTTGTGTGTGTGTGGTTGTGTATTTGTGTGTGGTTGTATGTGTGTGTATGTGTGTGTGGTTTGTGTGTGTGTGGTTGTGTATTTGTATGTGGCTGTACGTGTGTGGTTGTATGTGTGTGTGGTTGTGTGTGTGATTTGTGTGTAGTTGTGTGTGTGTGTGGTTGTGTGTATGTGTGACTTGTGTGTGGTTGTATGTGTGTGTGGTTGTGTGTATGTGTGACTTGTGTGTGGTTGTGTGTGTGTGTATGTGTGGTTGTGTGTGTGTGTGTGGTTGTGTGTGTGTGTGGTTGTGTTGCGTGGCAAGAGAAAACAAAGCTCTTAGAAAGGACTTCTGGTGTTGAATCTAGGTGAAAGTTCATTAGACTATTCTTGGGTTTAACATTTTCAAAAGAAAAGGGTGGGGGAGGGGAGGCAAGCGAGCCTGTTTCCTAAAACGCAGGATCTCACAATATTTGGCAGCTGTACTTATGAATAATGCTACCAATTTTGGGGGGGAGGCATTTATCTTAAAAGACTTTACAACATTCATGCTATTTCACTCAAAAGACGGGATGCTTTGTTCTGCTTCAATTCTCATAGATTATTTTAAAAGAATCTCTACCCACAAATCCAAGCCCTTGAAAATGTTCTATGAATTTGGTAACCATGCCACAAATAACTGAGGCCAGAAATACACTGGCATAGCTTCTGTAAAAACGGGAGACTAATAAACTTGAACATCTCCCGCGATTGCACAGCCAGAGCTGTGTCTAGAAACAGCGAGTCCTCTTGTCGAGCCCACCCGGGCTGGGTCAAGTACACTCTGTGATCCATGAAGCAGAGCTCAGAAGGGGGAGAGGTTCCAAATATCCAGGTAACCAAGATAATTACTTTATGCGGGCATTAAAATGATTTCTGAGTCAGTTTTCCCTACGTTGGGGTCCATGCAGGGTCTCGGTACCAAATGCTGCTCCGTGGAAAAAGTTTTCTGGGTATTTGAGACCAGCTCTCTCAAAATGGATAATTTCTCCTGGGCTCTGGATTTGATATTCTAGGTAAATAGTTAAGTACCACGCTCATGCCTAATTACATATAAAGCAAGGAATTACCATCATAGTTCTGGGAAACAAAACGTTCCAGCCAGTGAAATGGGAGCGGACGGAAAGGGAGCCCCTGTCCTCCCCAGCCGTGTCTCTGGTCCCCTCGCTGCTGGGCTGGGGCCGCCAGATCCCAGCACGTGCAGTCAGTTCAACCCAAACTTTCTATTCTCATCTGGTTAACCACAGGGTGAGCTGTGTCACTGGGGCACTCCAGGAACCTCTGCAGCTCAGTTTTGCCTCTAAAGAACGTTTTCTTCCGTGAATGGTCCCCGAGCGCGCTGCTCAGGGTCCTGGGGGTGCAGGGGCGGGAGTGGGCGGAGTTCTGGGAACCCCCCCAGGAGCCGCGAAGCAGCAGGTAGGCCCCGTGGGCTCTGGGGCTTGTCTCCTTCGGTGTCCTCTGCCCTCTGTCTGCCCCCCTGCACCTTACCCCTCTAGGAGAGACAAAGGGGGAGCTTCTGGTAGGATTGGAAAAGGGCTACCCCCTGGACTTCCTCCGAGGGGATCCCTCAGGCATCTCACAGAACCCCCGGGGCCCTGGCCGCACTGGGGGACGAGGGAGGCACTGGCTGAGGCAGGGGGTTGCTCCATCAGGATTCTTGCGGAAATTCCGAAGTCCTCACCAGCCGCTTCTCTCGGGCCTCATGTTCCCAAACCCAACGCGCACCTACACGAGTGGCCAAGGTTGAGTTAGACGAAGCCGAGGTGCTCTGCTCAAAGGGACTCCCGGTGTGCCAAGGGGAGCCTATAAACGGGCACACGACAGTACCAGCGCGTGTGCGATAACTGAGGTGTGACACAACAAGGCAGGACCCCCGCACGGGGATGGTTGCCGCCTGGGGAACAGGGGGTCCCAGAGCTCAGCCCTGCAGGATGGGGAGGCGGAGGCGAGGAGGAGGGAGTGCATTCGAGAAGGAACGTTGTGTGCGCAAAGATGGCAGCTCGCGGAGGGTGTGGTGGGGTTGGAGAGCGGTGGGGAGGTCAAGGGGCTCAGGCAGAGGATGAAGAGTGGTCAATGGCAGGCGTGGAAAGCCGGGCCGAGGAAGAGCCGCTCTGAGGTGTCTGCCTTTATCCAAAAGGCTACAAGAAGCCGTCAAACTCTTGTTTAAATTATGCTATTAAGATCTCTACCAACTCCCTCCACAACTTGAAGCAGGCGAACATGGATATACACGTGATATCCGTGGTTACGTACACAATTGTATCTGCTATATCGTTTTTGGGTCCGTGTGTTCAGGCACATTTTCCTTACACGATCTTTCTGTTTTCCTCGGAAACCCCACTACTTTAGTCTGGTCCTTGTCACCTGGGATTTGTAATTGAACGAATTAGATGCAATTATTATGATCATTAACCAGAAAACTTTTTAGTCCTTTCCTTTCTGGACATCCAAAGATGACTCCCCCCACCACCCAAAGATGACTTCTATACGTTCGTAAAGAGCAGAATATTCCATGTACACACGTACATGTGCGTGTACGTGTGCCCTCTCTTGTGACCTAACGTCACAAGACGGTCTCTTGTGACCTAACGTCATACAATGTAGGTCACCTGTTGCATTCCTGGCTACAAATGAGTTTCTTTTGCTAAGGCAGCAAAAATAACAAACACTACAATAAACTAAGGCTAAGAACCTCTTTAAATAAAAAAGGCTCTCGTTAAATTGGTATGCATCCTTTTGACCTCCTCGAATGCCCCTTTTTGAGGTTACTCAAATGCTAAGTGCATCTGAATGCCGAAAGGCCTAAAGACTGTTACCGGTGATAAACTAGTTGGACTTGGGAAGGAACATCTTTGACCGCAAGTGTAATTGTATTTTTAAAAGATGAAGATCTTGTTACCATGGATATCTTTGCCCCAGTGGAGAAAAACCACAGCACAAAAGCGGGGCTCACCCAAGACAGGGACAACCACCTGGCGGACAGAGGCGCATGCGTGACCCAATTTCCCGCCCCAGGGACAGGACGGCTGTAACCGTCGCCCCGTGAGCACGACAGAGAAGCGGGAAAAACGGACAGACCACAGCACACGTGCCACCAGCCCCCACGGCAAGCACTTCCCAGCGGGCAGGCCACCCGCACTCACATAAAACTCTAGCCCGGCCTTGGGTCTCAGCCGGAGGGAGGGCAGGTCACTGAGTGAGCGGCTGCAGTGCAGCTTGGCCAAGAAAGTGTCCTGCAAGGCACTCAAGACAGACAGCCGCCGCGGCTTGTCTGCCGGAGGGCGCAGCCACCGCTTGGGAAGTCAAAGCAAGACGCGCAGTTAGCGGAAAGCATTGGTTACCGTGTCTCGTTAGCTTTCGAGCCCGCGTTTCTGATTAGAACTAGGAGGCCGCTGTGACACCCCTCACTCTAAAAGGCTGAGCTCAGAGAGTCCTCAGAAAAGTCTGCGTGTTATCAGTGCGATCAGTAAAGGGGGGTGAGGGGAGAGGAAAGACGGCAGGGGGCGGTCTACCACCGCCGCCCTGTGCAGATGGCCAAGGGCATCTTGGAACATTATCAGGAGTTACCGAGAACCCCTAATGCCGTGTCAAGCGTTTCAAATACTGGGTGCAAGCCCCACCTCGGGTTCAACGCGCCTCCTCCCCAGATCACCGTGAACTTACGAAAAAGGAGTGGTCCTTCAGGGTGGGCGTCTCCGGGGTCCCCTGGCTGTACATGGACATTCTCCTCTGCAGGGCTGCGGCCTTGCTCCCGGCGCCCGAGGACGGGGCCATGTCTTCCACGTCAAAGGGGCTGCAACACAACAGGTCCCCGTGAACGCACGTTTGTTAGGTCGCCTCTAACCCCTGGACCGCAGGCTGAGAAGACACCTCATTATACTAAAGTAAACTCAAGAAAGTGGGAACTGGGCTGGCCGGGCGGGCGATAAACCAAGATAAAACAAAGTGGAGCAGAAGACTGAGTCCAGACCCCTCCAGGGGCCAAGGTTATCATCATGGCATTAAGTGCAATTCACCTATACACCCAGCCATTAGATAAATCTGTTTCTTGGTTAATGTTAGACATGGAAACATATTAATGCTTGTCCAGTACAAGATGTCAGTCTGTAAAGATTCTTTGAGCTTTATGTTGGCAATACAGGAGAGTAACGTGATTGTTCTAAAGAAAATGAACCTAGACTCCTGTTCGTTTCTGTCAACACAGAGCCTGTTGCGTGCGGGACAGTCTGTCCACCGTCACCCTGTTTATCATCATGCCATCTGGTTCGTCCAGCGAGACAAACGATCTTGCCTTTGCCACATCGATGACTACAGCTGACGTGGAGGGAGGCCGGGCAAAAGGTGCCCACAGGGGTTCATGGACAAGACAACGGGGTCCTTGCTGCTTCCATACCTCACCCTCTATGTCGGAAAGAGGACCCTGAGTATCGGTGCCCCGCACGTCACGCGTGCATGGAAATATACCAGGGGCACAGTATCAAACGTCGTGGGCAACCAGTGTTTAATGGCTTACGACCTTTCTCATGAGGTGACTTCAGAAAACCACCTTTAAGTTCACTGCTCTGACGAAAGGTATCTCTTCCTCTCTGGCAATTTTCTATTTCAGTAGAGTGTGAAAGATACCGAGAAGTTTCCCAGAGCAGCATAGGGCACACGAGATAAAGAGGGACAGGCAATGAAGACATTATAGAGAGAATCGGGATTTTTTTCCAAGGGTGAAATATCTCCTTTGGACAGTTATTTTTCTTCCAAATTAGCTTAAGAGCTGTATTTGTTTTTTTTTCTAATTTTTTAATGTTTACTTATTTTTGAGAGACAGAGAGAGGCAGAGCACGAGCAGGAGAGGGGCAGAGAGAGAGAGAGGGAGACACAGAATCCCAAAGCAGGCTCCAGGCTCCGAGCTGTCAGTACAGAGCCCGACGTGGGGCTCAAACGCATGAACTGCGAAATCATGACCTGAGCCACCCAGGCACCCCAGAGCTATGTTTCTTTATATACGTTGAAAGGTTGAGAAGGAGGGAAGGCAGCACAATAAACAATTTTCAAGCAGGAAGTAGGAGAGGAGCAGAGCGGTAAGACAGAGGCTTCTCCAGCTTATGGAGCTGACAATGTGCAAACGTCACCCGCTGAGCCAGCCAAGCAGAGCCTCGGGCCCTCGAGGTTCTGACACAGGTCTCGGTGGGACCCGAGAGTCTCCTTCTGTGGCAAGCCCCCCTGGGGATGCCGATGGTCCCCGTGCCACCCTCTGAACAGCACTGGTCTGCAGCACGTATTTGTAACGTGGCAAAACTGAAAAGGGCCACTTACTACCAGGTGATCTCCAGGCTCAGTTTGATGGTGCCGAGGTCATTGATGTCAACCGCCACCACCTGAGGTCGGGCGGCAAACAGCTCTTTGGTCTCGCAGGTCACACTGCCGACCAGGAGGTGAGTGGCGAGCCCTTTGAGTTCCGTGACCTGGTGAGAGAGGGACAGGGACGGCCTTACGTCGGGGGGAGGGGGGGGGGGCGGTGCCGGACAAAGGCCAGGGACACTTTCCCCTGTTCTGCTTGGCCCGCTCTGGGCGAGAGCCGTGGTCTTCACGGCGGACTCGGGGTGCAGAGGGGAGTCTGCAAGGTGGAGGGGCCGCAGGCGGAAGTCACGAACAAAGGTCCCCACCGACGGGGTCACCCATCCGTGCACCAGGATATGACAATGACGATACTGAACCTTGATGGAAATGAATCCGACGATCAGGGGCAGGAACACGACCTCCTCTCCGTCCCAGCTCTGCTTGCCGTTGGCTTCTATTCTGCCTTTCAGTTTCCACCTCTGTCGGCCGTACTTCATGAAAATCTGGGGAGAAGACACCAAACCTCGGGTTCCAGGGGCCTCGCCCGACTTGCCACCCACACTTCGAGATACACGGCATGGGAATAAATCAGCTGCTGCTCCCCCCTCTTCCGTCCTCCTCGCCCACCCCCTTCTTGTGGGTCTTTCCAATTCCCTGGGGTCTGGGCGGAGGGGCAGATGGTGAGTGGGGAAGAGGCTTTTAAGAGGGAGCAAGGTCTGCTCCGCCAGGCAGAGGGGGTGGGGGGCCCTCTTTGTAAAAGGTCAACCCGTGTCTCCTTGTTACCACGGTCACGGTGACCAGATCCTTCTCCTGGGAGAATACAATGCTTCAGCACATTAGCCGTTGGACCCCCCCCAGCTCCGTGAGCGGGAGGAGAAACCATCAGCTAAAATCTACTCAGCAGCCAGCAGCACGAAGAAAGACCTCCTCCTCCTCCTCCTGGATGAGGGAGGCAGAACTGGACAAAGATTTTGAAATCCGACAGACCCCAGGGAGAGGGTCTCCCTTCTCTTTGCTCAGACAGCTTTACCGTTTAGGGGAAGATACCCTTCCCTCACACCCGCCCCAAGGATGATCATAGAGGGTTTTGGAGAAGACAGTTAGATGATTCAATTAGGGAAGTGCTCTTTTAAAGAGGGGAAAAGAGAAAAGCCCTTTTTTACTTTCTGGAGTGTATCTTTCTAAAGAAAGGTCTAGATACTAGTGTTCTTTAGTCCGTGATATTTACGAGCACTCGTGATCCCGGACTGGCTCTTGCATCGGGAGAAAAGGCTGCTTTCAAGTACAACATTGGGACTGGGGAAAATACGAATATGGACCGTATGGCAAATGCCAATGTTAAGTTAGCTGCGTTGAGAGTTGCACGATCCTGATAGGAAAGCATGTTCTTCCATTTTGGGGAAAATAATTATGGGGCAAAAGGTCACTATGCCTGTGCTTTGGTCTAAAATGGTTCAGCAAAATAACGATCATAGTAGTAATAATAAGGCAAATGTGACATTATGTTAAAAATTGGTGTCTGCAAAAATAGATCTACCCTATGACCCAGCAATAGCACTGCTAGGAATTTACCCCAGGGATACAGGAGTGCTGATGCACAGGGGCACTTGTACCCCAATGTTCATAGCAGCACTCTCAACAATAGCCAAATTATGGAAAGAGCCTAAATGTCCATCAACTGAAGAATGGATAAAGAAGTTGTGGTTTATATACACAATACAATACTACTTGGCAATGAGAAAGAATGAAATACGGCCTTTTGTAGCAACGTGGATGGAACTGGAGAGTGATATGCTAAGTGACACAAGTCATACAGAGAAAGACAGATACCATATGTTTTCACTCTTATGTGGATCCTGAGAAACTTAACGGAAACCCATGGGGAAGGGAAGGGAAAAAAAAGTTAGAGAGGGAGGGAGCCAAACCATAAGAGACTCTTAAAAACTGAGAACAAACTGAGGGTTGATGGGGGTGGGAGGGAGGGGAGGGTGGGTGAGGGGTATGGAGGAGGGCACCTGTTGGGATGAGCACTGGGTGTTGTATGGAAACCAATTTGACAATAAATTTCATATTAAAAAAATTGGTGTCTGGATGAAGAGTATGTGGGGTCTTCACCTCCAAATGTTCTCGCTGGGGCTTCATTTCCCCCCCAAATAAACAAATGTAAAAGGAAAAAACAAAAGGGCAATGTAAGAAACCAAATAATGGCAGCTGACTCCTGTCCCTCAAATCCCCAATCCCAGCACGCAGATGGACACGATACTTACTTCATACTGATCTCCAGGACAGAGGCGAGCAAAACCAGCCAGACCTGTAAGCATGCAACAGAGACATGAGGTGCGGCATAGATTCCCCTTCACAAACCCCCACTGGAACGTTAATAAACCAGAAGCGTCAGACCTTTGTGAAAGCTCATGGAATAGTTTTGAGGGACCACCCGAGGGGATGAGGGGACAGCTGAGAATCCCATCTATCACCGCTGCAGAGAACATTCCTGGCCGGGTTAACCAAAGATGGTGCTTTCTGAGGCAAAGAAGGCTGCTCGACAGGGACTAGAACCCTATGAACCTTTGGCCAATTAGAAGTCCACCCAGCTTCCAGGACCAGAGAGTTAGGGCCAGAAAGATACATTCATTTATCTACCCAAAATATTCCCATGAAAATAAACTGCTGTCTTGTTTTTCCTTCTGTCCCAAAGATTGGTGATTTCTGAGAAGTGCCTCTCACTTGGGTGAAGATTCCATGGGCTTAGTCTGTCCCCCTTGCCTGTCCCCAGTTCACTCATTCCTGTGTTTTCCTATTCCTATCTACCCAGCATAATGATAATAGAGAGAGAATCACGATAAGGACAACTAGACGGCATAATGCACCATCTAGTGTGTTATGAGATCACTTAAAACGGATTATCATCTATACAAAGGCAGTAATTAAGAAAACAAAAACAACCAACCAGATGACAACAACCCACACTCCCCATGTGGAGAGGGGGCTTCCCTTCGATCATGCCATCAGCACGTCCTCCCCCGGCTGGATCTGCTCCACCTGGGATCCAGCCCCATCTCTGATGTAGCAGCAAGAACAAATCATGTCAGGCCACTGTCGTGGGACATCTCAGGGACCCTGAATTTAATCAGTCTCTTTCTTTCTGTAGATATTCATTGAGACTCCGTGTGGGGGGATCTGTACATTGGGGTAATGATCTGGAAATTAAGAGAGAGGTCACCGATACCCAGAAAATAGAATAAAATGTGATTAAAGTCCACAGGGATGAAACAGACAAGGACCCGAGGCAGTAAGAGGGGTTAAAGCAGAAGGTGACTTCTGTTTTATTGACCAGGGAGCCTACTCTAGGTATCAACTCCAATTTCATCACCTCTAAAAGGGCGGGGAGGTCACAATCTCCACCTCAGAGAGCTATTTATAAAGACAATCGATGGCCTCTGGTCCATAGTACGTGCCTAATGCATAGTAATGATTATATATTCAGGAATGGGGTCATACTATTCATTCATTCATTCATTCATTCACTTATTTATTTATAGTTTATTTATTTATTTTGAGAGAGAGAGAGAGAGCATGAGTGCACAAGCAGGGGAGGGGCAGGCAGAGAGGAGAGACAGAATCCCAAGTAGGCTTTGTGCCATCAGTGCAGAGCCCGATGTGGGGCTTGAACTCCTACAAATTGTGAGATCATGACCTGAGCCAAAACCAGGAGTTGGAAGGTCACCCGACTGAGCCACCCGGGCACCCCAGGTCATACTATCTATTGAGCATGTGCCACACATGGTTCATTTAAAAGATGTTATCTATATGAAAAGGTAGCAAATCGATGCACATCAGACAGGGGGACAGCAATGGAGAGACAGTAAAAGGAGATGTTTTTCTATATTTTGAATTTTTTTAAGAATGTGTTACTTAGGTGTAATTCAACAAGAAACTCTATCTCATTTAATGCAGGCTAGTTTCTTGGAGGAAGGTAGTATTTGAACAACAGAATTTCACCACAGGCAAATGAGGGCATGGGTAAGCGGGCACTTCTGGGCAAAGGGAGCGGCCTGTATTCACGCATCAATATTTCCGGAACGCCTACTGCGTGCCAAGCACAAATATAGTCGTGGGGAGGGAGAGATGCACATCACACGTGCACAATAAACGTAGGGACTAAACTCATCAGTAGGGGCTTATCAGTAATCCTGGCTCTGCTTCCATGCCAACCACAAAGCAAAGTCTCTTACCCTAATACGGACCTGAAGACACAGTTTTAATGAAGGAATGAAACAAATTTAATAAGAATGGGCAATTTTATTTTCTCATTTTCTAATGAAAAGCACCAATATAATTTTATGAAAAAAACCCTCCAGTTCAGAATTCACTACAAATGCTTACACACAATGGAATACTACAGAGCCATAAAAAAAAGGATGAGATCTTGTCATTTGTGACAACATGGATGGACCTGCAGGGCATGAGGCTAAGTGAAATCGGTCAGGCTGAGGAAGACAAATACCATATGATTCCATTTGTATGTGGAATCTAAAAACAAAACCAACAAAATAAACGAGAAGCAGAAGCAGACCCGTAACTACAGAGAACAAACTGATGGGTTCCAGAGGGGAGGCAGGTGGGGGGATGGGCCAAGTGGGTGAAGGGGAGAGTGGGAGGTACAGGCTTCCAGTTATGGAATAAGTCATGGGGATATAAAGCACAGCGTAGGGAATATAGTCAATGGTATCGTAACAGTGTTGTATAGGGAAGAACGGTACCTACAGTCATGGTGGACACAGAACATATAAACCTGTGGAATCACTACGTTGCGCACCTGAAACTAATATAATATTGAGTGTCGACTATACTTCAATTAAAAAAAATTCAGTACAGGGGCGCCAGGGTGGCTCAGTCGGTTAAACGTCGACTTCGGCTCAGGTCATGATCTCACGGTCCGTGAGTTCGAGTCCCGCGTCGGGCTCTGGGCTGACAGCTCGGAGCCTGGAGCCTGTTTCCGATTCTGTGTCTCCCTCTCTCTGCCTCTCCCCTGTTCATGCTCTGTCTCTCTGTGTCTCAAAAATAAATAAACGTTAAAAAAAAAAAATTAAAAAAAATAAAAAAATAAAAAAATTCAGTACAAATGTTTAGCTATCTTTAACAAGCTATTATTAATTATTATGTATGAATTATGTTACGATAATTAATATAAATATTAAAAATAATGGTCTCTGGTAAGGTGGGATTAAGAGGAAAATTAAACGTTTGGCATTCAATAGTGATTTTTATTGGATTTTTTTTCAAATATCATGTGTTTATAAGAAAAAAGACATAAAAAAGATCACGTATGTTGGTTGGCGGGCAGCATATATGCGGAGAACAGGCTGTTTGGATATTCATGACAATTTTTACAAAGTTTAGCACTGGATAGAGCGATGACATTATGACTTAAAAATTTTGGGTATATTTGCCAATGTTAAAAAAAAATTAGAAGGTACCATTAAAAAAATTTCAAACTGATTCGAGAAGAACAATCCTGCTCTTTTCGTAGAGGCAGCCGGAGAGGAGATAATTTTGAACGGCTGGTATGAGAGCGGCCCTGGGACTCTCAGCTGCCTTCGCACACAGGGCGTCCATCCGGCCAACGGACCTCTTGGTGGCCCAGCCTCCTCCAGCTGCTGTTTACGACCTTTGAGTTCCTAATTGTTTTTATGTGAGGGTATGTATGGTTTTACCCGTGTAAATTTGACCGCGATGGTATCACACAGTGGATCTTGCCTTCTTTGAATAGCCCCGTTAAGCTGTGAGACTGGAATGAATGACCGCCTCTCCCCGGTCCAAGAGGCACGGCCACAGTTGAGAGGATAGGGAAGGTCCATTTAGGCTTAAAAAAGGCACCCGCTGTTACCACTGTCTGTCAGTAGATGGCAGCAACTCACCACCTCCTTCTGCCTCCTTCCCCACCGAGCCAGGCCACTTAGGACTTTGCCAATAACTACAACATAACAAGCCACTTTAAAAGATTTACTGAAATAAGAGCAGAATTTAAAAAGCCAATTTTCCCTAGTCATTTTCTGCAGGATTAGTCTTTTTTTTTTTTTAATACTTTGGGGAAAAAAGCACAATTGACTGGTTTTTACAAATCAGAATAGGGCAGATGTGCTGATTCTAAGAAAATCCAAAGTGCCCTTTAAAACCTGTGCAAATTAGTGCAGGTTTCATCCGCTGCAGGCTTACCTGTGCAAATACAACAGAAGCCTGGTTAAAAAACAAAAAACCCAAAACTGACAAGGTATGTAAAGGGAAAAATCCTTTGAAGGTTTTTTTTCCCCCCTTTCAAAATTACCGGGAATTTCATATCTGAGGAACTTATCTAATGGGAGAAAGGTACTTGGTAGGGATGTTTGTGCGCTTATGAGCCCATGTTATTAAAGCAAAATTTCTTAAAATCGCTTGTAGTGCTATCACACTGAGACCCTGATTACAACCATAACGTAGCCAATTGGCAACAGGCAGGCAAAAAACAGGTCCCGCCCTCTGCTCCTGTAAGCCAATCACCGTACTGGCCGCAGAATTAAAACCAACAGCAGGCCAATTGTAGTTACAGCCTGAGGTCTCTGAGGCCCGGCTGGAGCCTTGCTGGGATTTTCACAGTTGGGGAGATCTTTATGCTTTCTCAGTGGTTTTGTGATTACCGTTGCACAGTCTCGAAAGCTTTCATTTCGGGCCCTCTAAGGACCACTGGGGGCTAGCATCCAGGGATGGGTGGGGGTAGGGGACTTTTCTTTCTTTCTTTTTTTTTTTTTTTTCCAACG